CTCCTGTCAGCCTCTCCTCAAGTTGCGCCCGGGCGGTGCGGTCCGCCCTCATGGACGCACCGCCCGGGCAAAGCTGCAGCCGCCTGAGGCTCTTTACAGAGCGCTCGGGCGGCTGCAGCATGAGCGGGGCCGGCGCTCCTGGCGGCGCCTCCTCCCAAGGGGCGCCCTAGGCGGCTGCCTAGTCCGCCTTACAGGTAGCGCCGGCCCTGGTAATAGTTACCTGCACACACAGATATCCCCCTAACATAGCTAAAACTAAAAAAAAACTAAAAACTACTTCCAAAAATATTCAGCTTTGATATTAATGAGTTTTTTGGGTTCATTGAGAACATGGTTGTTGTTCAATAATAAAATTAATCCTCAAAAAATACAACTTGCCTAATAACTCTGCACTCCCTGTAATTAAGAGGTGTCTGCGGTTAACCACAACGTTCTAATTGGGGCCAAGAGGTTAACCAGCAGCACACTTCTCTTCTGGGTGGCCGTCCGTTCGGTAGTTTAATTCGGTATAAGTCCAAAAAGACGAATAGGGGCATATGGACAGGCAATTCCGTGAAGGAAGGCAAACTAGACGATCCAGGAATACTAGTCCTTCAGATGAATCTGTTACATAGTACATTTTGTGGCCTGCTCTTCATATCTGAGAGTCAAATAAAAGCGTCTAATAGTGTGCTTGCAAAGCAGTTGTAAAAATTCTAATTGTTTTGCTACTAGTCTGCTAAATAGTACATTTGCGGCCTGTGGTGCACTTCATATCTGAGAGTCAAATAGAAGCATCAAATAGTGCGCTCAAACATTCTAATTGTTTTCCTGCTAATCTACTAAATAGAACATTTTGTGGCCTGCTCTTCATATCTGAGAGTCAAATAGAAGCGTCTAATAATGTGCTTACAGCGCAGTGGTAAACATTCTTATTTTCTGGGTGCTAATCTGCTAAATAGTTCATTTTGTGGCGTGCACTTCATATCTGAGATTTAAATAGAAGCGTCTAATAGTGTGCTTACAGCGCAGTGGTAAACATTCTTATTTTCTAGGTGCTAATCTGCTAAATAGTAAATTTTGGGGCCTGCTCTTCATATCTGAGAGTCAAATCGAAGCGTCTAATGGTGTGCTTACAGCGCAGTTGTAAAAATTTTAATTTTCTCTGTGCTAATCTGCTAAATAGTACATTTTGGGGCATGCACTTCATATCTGAGAGTCAAATAGAAGTGTCTAATAGTGTGCTTACAGTGCAGTGGTAAAAATTCTAATTGTTTTGCTGCTAATCTGCGAAATAGTACATTTGCGGCCTGCGGTGCACTTCATATCTGAGAGTCAAATAGAACCGTCAAATAGTGCGCTTACGGCGCAGTTGTAAACATTCTAATTGTTTTGCTGCTAATCTGTTGCTTACATTAGAGTTTTAAAAAGACAATTTTTTTTTTTGGTGCTAAATAGTATATTTGGGGTGTTCACTTCATATCTGAGAGTCAAATCGAAGCGTAACTTTGATTAAAATTTACTACATCGGTCACTTGTAATATTGTTTCACACCTACAACACTTGTTAGACAGATCTAAGTGCTAGAAAACAGATTGATATTTTCTACACTAGAAACTACCAGATAACAAGCAGCTATATTTAAACAAGTTATCAATAGCAAAGAGGTAGTTCAACAATATTGTAATTCTGGGGCAATACCCTCACAAGTCAAACTGAGAGGTCAGTTTATAGGGAAAACTGTTGCCTGGATACAATTCTAAAACAATTTCCATATGTCCTTTGCAGACTTTACATGCTAGAAAACACAGTTGCCAACTGCTGTGGCTTTCTGCAGTGTGCATACCGGCAAGGAGGGCAAGGTTGAGGAGTGGGTGGAAGATGATGTGGAGGATGATGAGGTTCTAGACCCGACATGGAATCAAGGTCATGCGAGGGACATGTGCAGTTTGGAGGAAGAGGCGCTGGTCGCACAGAGGCACCAGCACAGCATACGAGGGAGCAGGGTGCAAAATCGGAGCACGCTGTCCCCTAGCACTCGTCGGCATTTATTAGCTCAATAATTACCATTTATCCAAGTAATACATGTAGCGATCAAAGTATCCATAATAGAGTTGAGCAAACCAGGACTGCAAAGTTCTCGTTCGTACCAGATTTAACAATCCATTTGTAGTTTCACAGTCAGGTGGGCAGTCCGGTGACCAGGACCCAGACACTGTCTGGGCGGCGGTCTGACGACCGGGGCCCAGTATGCCTGATGTTGAAGTTAGGAGTCACAGTGTGGAATGGATTAGCAGGGTCTGGTGCAGGGTAACCACACGCCCCCTGGTGTTGAGCACCAGCATTTGTGTGGCCACATACCAGGTCCCTGATGCAGCTTCAGTAAAAAGAGTATTGGATCCTAGAAGCCATCACCAGAGTGATCCGCAACTTGGAAGAGGATGTGATATTCACTGTAGCGGCTGTGCAAGTTTTTGGTGTTCTCACCCTGCTGCTGCTCGCCTGTCTGCGCTGCAGCGTAACTTCAGCCTTCCCTCTCACCGCCTCATGAGACTGTGCGAGCAGCAGCAGGCAATAGTAAAGTTTCGGCTGCAGCACACATGGGTCAGTGGCTCTGCACCATACTTCCTTCCAATTGATCAGAGTTTCAAGTTGACTCATTACAATTACAGGGCCTCTAAAGAGTCCTGTATTGTTATTTGTCGTCACTACCTTCCCACGTTGGGAGTGGGTCATTTGTGTTCCTTGTTGCCTTCCTTGCATGTGGTAGCCATTTCTCAGGGTCCCTGTACGGAATGGAACCCTGATTCCCCTTACCCGTGGTCACCATGGTAGGCCAATATTTGGGGGGCTCCACCCTCAGGGACCCCCTCCCGCCGGGCTCTGGAGAGAGGAAGGGGTTAAACACTTACCTTTCTCCAGCGCCGGGCGGGGAGCTGTACTCCTCCTCTCCTCCTTGCTTGCGACGTCATCGGCAGGAGCCGCGCGCGCATTCAGCCGGTCGCATAGGAAAGCATTTACAATGCTTTCCTATGGACGCTTGCGTGCTCTCACTGTGATTTTCACAGTGAGAAGCACGCAAGCTCCTCTAGCGGCTGTCAATGAGACAGCCACTAGAGGCTCTGGAGGCTGGATTAACCCTCAGCATAAACATAGCAGTTTCTCAGAAACTGCTATGTTTATAAAAAAAAAAGGGTTAATCCTAGAGGGACCTGGCACCCAGACCACTTCATTAAGCTGAAGTGCTCTGGGTGCCTAGAGTGGTCCTTTAAATTTCAAATAAAGAACTTCTTACCCCCCTTTCTTACTCCCCCCTCCCCCTCTTCTTACTTCCCCTTCCCCCTCTTACCCCCTTCTTACTTCCCCCTTCTTACCCCCCTCTTCTTACTTCCCCTTCCCCCCCTCCCCCTCTTCCCTCCCTCTTACCCCCTTCTTACTCCCCTCCCCCTCTTACCAAGGGGGAACAGGAGTTTCTGTTTCCTGTACCCGGTCGGACTGACAGGAAGGTGCACACTGAGCGTGCACCTTCCTATCACTCCGGCCGGCCACCGCGGACAGCAGAGCAGCTCGGCCACGCTACAGGGGAGGTGAGTACCAACTGCAGCCGCCTGAGCGCTCTTGACAGAGCGCTCAGGCGGCTGCAGTATTTAAAGGGCCGGCGTATAACACGCACCCACAATTTGCCCCCTATTTTCAGGGAGAAAAAGTGCGTGTTATACGCCGATAAATACGGTATATATATATATATATATATATATATATATTTATATAAAAAACAGTGTTGGCTAAATCATCCTCCTCCTCCACCACCGCTTCTACCTTCACCGGCACGGTCACCGCCTCCTCAACCTATGTGTCACTTAGTATAAACTATATACACAATAGTAGAGGCTTGTGAAGGGCTTTTGTCCATGCATCTTCAGTTGAGCTCAGTTTGAACAATGAAAGAGAATACCCTGTACTCCTCTCTCAAATGGATAATTCTGTTGATCCTCCTGACAGCCATGCTTTAGATTTTGATTTATGTTCTTCCAAAGCTAAAATCAAAGATTCCATTGAGTGCTATTTTATGGCTCAGCTGTATTTTTAATTTTTATGTTATTTTAAGTGATTTTCCTATCCACATTTGTTTGCAGGGCACTTGTCCTACTCATACCCCCATTTTACTTCCTTTTGCAGCTCTCTATAGCCCTTTCCAGGAGGTTTTTAGAGGCATTTTTGGGGTTCAGATTCAATGGGGTTCGGGTTCAAGGTCAAGTTGCAGGTCAAGTTCGATCCCGAACCCGGACTTTTTTTCAAAGTTCAGCTGAACCTGCCGGACCTGAACATTCAGGTGACCGCTCAAGTCTAGCAGTTACTCATATAGTCTTATTTAGGTGCGTTTTAAAGCAGTATGCTGCAAAGGACTCCTATTTATATATATATAAAAACCCTATTAAAAGGCTATTGTAAATGGTAGAATTACAACAGCCTTTGAAGCGGTTAAAGAGCAAGAAATAGTTAGATTCATGTAATGTAAAAGCAGAAAAGTAGAATTTTGGCACGTTCCTTCAGTATTAAATTTTTAAGGTGGGTTCAAGTTTTACAGTAGACTGCAGTTGGTCTGAGTTATATAACTAATCAATCATTTTAAATTTCAGATATCATTGCCCAACTATTTCAAGGTGACATCTCCATTCGCTCTGGCCCTACTCGTGGAGCCGCGATCTGTTCAAACTGCTATTGGCCAGGATCCAAAGATGGAACATATCCTGTGCCTTACACGATTTCCAATGACTTCCGTAAGCTATTCTCATTAGTTAACAACTTGTGAGGTTTGTTGCTCTTTTTTTTTTTATTTTTTTTTTTTTACTAAATTAATACCAGGAACTTACTTCCTCTTCTTTTCCCAGGGGATTCGGCAAAGCTACACATTAAGAATGCGCTTATTCAGTTTGAACTCCTCACCTGTGTGAGGTTAATTGAACAAACAACAGAAAAAGATTTTATCAGCTTCGAGGCTACACCTGGGTAAGATAAAATTGAAGGTGGTTAAGCCCTATTTATTAAAAAAAAAGAGTTTAACTAGAGTTGGGTAAAGTTGCATGACCAATAATGCTAAATAATGAATATTCAAAGTCTAAAAGATGGATTATGGAAGTATGCTACTCTTCAGTGTTTTGAAGTGGTTAAGGTGCTAGGAGAATATCAGGGTTATTCACAAAACACCAAATTTTGTCTTACTGGACAAAATCAATTGAAAACAGCTGCTTTCTGACTGTATTGGCAATTCTCAGATTTACTGAAGGCAAATGCAAATCTGTGATTTCCACATCTGAACCAATTTACAGCACTGGAATTACAGATTTATCAATAACCGCATGGGGGCTGATAATAAACTGAATGCATGCAGCCGAATGCTCAATTTCAAATTATCATTCACTTTCTATTTGCAAGTGAATTGGTAATTTGAAGTACTATTTACCTGTTGGCAGCGCTAGCAGTCATTAAGGGAAATAGTTAAACACCCTCAGAAGCTTGAGGGTTAATTATATGGTGGCTCTGACAACCAAGTCTTACTTCTCTCGACACTTGGCTGTCAGAGTGATCTGATTGTTATATTAACTAGCCAACCAATCAGACCACTCATGATCATATTGCAAAGCATGGGAAATGTTGCCTAGCTTTGCTTAGTGATACCTGTCATAGGGTGGAAAGTCGATGAAAGGGCTTATCCCACTAGCAATGCTTATTCTGCGGTTGAGTTACTTTTTGTTGTGGTGATGTTTATTTAAGTGGATTTTTTTGTTTTTTTTATTGGCCTTTTTTATATTACTTAGTAGCGCCAGGAATTATGGATTTTTATTTGCCCCTTTTTTGGGACTGAAGAAAAGAATTAGAAGAAAAGAGATTTCTGATGGTAAGTATAATTTTTTATTAAAGGTTTTAAATTTCATGACACCCTCCTCACTATTTTCAGGATAAAGAGGTAGGTAGGGAATTTATTTTAGGGGTGGCTAGGGAATAGGTTACCCCTAAACACAAGGAGGATTTTACTGTAAAATGGGAGGGTGGACCATGTACACAACCATATGTTTTATAATTTATTAGGGCCCCTACTCATCAACATGAGTAGGTGCTGATTGAAGGGGGACACCCCCACACACTTGTAAAACCCTTGTAAAACCCTCTGGCATGGGTGGGGCTAGGGGAGAGGACACTAGGTTTTCCTCTTATACATATTAGGACATGGGTATTAGGACCAGCGGAGGAGAAGCTAGGTCCCTCCCTTAAAGTTTTAAGTATTCCCAGGAGGCTGCATGTGGGGAGAAATATCCCTGTGGGATGGGAACTTTTATAGCAACTTGACAGCAATGGCTTCCCAGTTACTAGTTTTAATGTTGAGTAGCCATGCCCACCCCCACCTGCCAGATGAGTGGTGCTGGCATATGGAGGTAAAATACCTCCATTATAGTGATATGTGGATTTTAATGAACCCCATAGGATTTTTATTTTATTTTACTATTGAAATGAGGCGACAGGCTACCAAACGCTGACCAGCTGCTGCATAATTAACAAATTTTTTACTAGTGCTGCCAGCAGATCAGCTTATGTCAATTCTGTACATCCTTTGCACAGTAGTACATAAACTGGTTGAGAGTGCTCAGTTGGTGATAAGAGCCAATTAATGACGGTCCGCATCAACTTTTGGATTCTCTAGCTTCTGCAGAGCGGGTCATTTTGGAATGATGTCACAATTTGCAACTATTTAGTTGAGTTATTTCTAGTAAAAGATAGTCATTTGATGCCAGTAGACAGTGTCAGAATTATTTTCATTGTGTCATGGAAAGTTTGAATATTGATGATAACCCTCTGTGCTCCAAATAAACTAAATTAATTAACATCTAGAACAATACAAATCTTGTTCAGTTTCCATAGATGAATGGATTTCAAACTAACTGATTATAACATAGACTGTTTGGGATAAAATCAGCCCGGGCCCTTTATGGATGATGGATATTTGCCAACTCATTCAGAGCTCTGGAAATTCGAAATGAATAGCAGAGACGTGTTCAATAACCAATTCAATTTTTATTCATCCGTCAGTTTTATTAATACCAGGATGGGAGGGGGAAAAATGAGCATATGTGCATGACAATGATATTGTTTTTCACAAGTTATGAGCAGCTGTTTTTTTATTATAATTCTACGTTATATAACACATGTATATTTGATCAAAACAAGATATTTACAAATACCCAAATTTTGGACAATTAACAAGAACATTTCAAAATCACTATGGTCATTCTCGTAACTGATATTAGATAAATTCTTCCCAGAATCGAAGATACAATTCCAAATTTATTCTTGGTTCACATTAACCCTTATATGAACAGCTAGGATAGATAGCAAAATGGATATTCGTATCTACAATTCCCTTCTTAGATCCTATCATGATCTACCTTACGGAAAATATCCATGGGAGGCCTGCGGCAGAGAAACGAAAGGAGGTATATTCAGACATGCTAATCATGTCTGCGGGACTTTCATTATTTCTTCACCTCGATTTCCCCCATTTGCTCTGTGCCTTAGGTTTTCCCTTTAAGAGGAGTTCGAGCTGTCAATTTTCAGCTTTTTCAGTTATCTGATGAATATATCTTTTAATTGTACAAGTTAAATATTTCAAACAGCTGACATGTTAGCCAATTTTAAACAGACTGCACATCATGTTATCTGTAACTTGAGCCTTGGATCAAAACAGGCAAAGTGTATTATTCCCAGCAACGGGAATATTATTATTATAATTCAAAACATAAACACATATAGTCAAAATGGGAATAATATCTATTCCCCCGCTTTGGAGCAGGGTCTTGGATTACCAGTCCACCCAGTGAACTCGGGACAGGTCAAAAAACCCAGTGGCAAAAACTCATATTTGAGGAAAAAAAGCACATCTGGAAAACCCTGAGTGAGAGCCATGACTGTAAAGACATGTCATCCCCTCAC